GTGGATTAACCAGCAGATTTCCCCCGTGTGATAACGTCCATAGTCTCTATGCATCCGCAGTGCGTGTGAGGCTTTCATGTACACAATTTTCACTTTTTAATGTTGTTAGCTGTCCTTCCCTTTCTCTCTCAGTCTCTGTCCATGGCTGAACCCATATCGCCCCCCCAAAAAAAGGCTGGACCCCCAGAGGCCATGGGTCCAATTCAATGCTGGGCCTCCAGCCCCACCTGCAGGCCATCTGAGGAGAAGCAGGATGGACACTCGGCTGGACCAAGACCTTTCTTTCCTTCTTTGCCCAAAGAGAAAGCAAGGCTGCGATCAAACCAAAAAGCCACCTTGCCACCCTAACTGCAATGAAGCGCAGAGTAAGAGCACATTTCTATGACTGAGGAGCCCTGAATTCGAATCCCCCCTCATCCACATTCTTTGCTCCTCAGAGCAGCTGGAAAGAATGCATTTGATAGGAATCTCACAAATCTGACCAGGAGGGCTTTAAAATGAGTTTCATGGAGTAGGGAAACTGTATTCCAGAAAGGAGAAGGATGCCAAGTACTGGGGGAAATGGCTTTAAAAATACAGGTGGGATTGGGCCAGCAGTACAAGACCCCAAGAGTGGATATATATTTTTAAAAAACAGCAGGGGAAAATGACTGATGGTCGTAGATGTCTCTACACTAAAGTACAGAGCATGGGAAATAAACAAGATGTACACAGGATGACAACCACAATTAGACAGGCATCCCTGAAACCTGGTGGGATGAGTGCCATAGTAATGGAAGAGTATGACCTTGTTGTTGTTGTGGACCTTCAAGTAGTTTCCAACTTACACAGACCCTATTGCAGGGTTTTCTTGGCCAGATTTGTTCAGAGAGGGTTTGCCTTTGCCTCCCTCTGAGGCTGAGAGAATGTGACTTGTCCAAGGTCAGCCAACGGGTTTCCATGGCTGAGTAGGGATTCAAACCTTGGTCTCCAGAGTTGTAGTCCAACACTCATACCACTAAGCCAAGCTGGCTGGTACAATCTATTCCAATGAAATAGACCCTGGAAAATGCCCCGCATGATATTCTTCTAGGCAATCTGTAGAAGTCAGCTGCGTTCCAGTTTGTTGGATCTGTAATTGGCCGTCAGACTGAGCCCAGAGGAGGCTCAGTAATGGCTGCTCTTCTTCCTGGAGGAGAGAAGTGACGGATGGGGAGCCTCACGGTTATGTCCTGGGCCGTGTTCGTTACTTCTTTATATGTTTTATTAAATTTTCCGATGACATCAAATTAAGGGGAGTAGTGAGGATCAGATCAGGATTCAAAATGACCTTGACAGATGGCAGAACTGGTCCAAAACTAACAAAATTAATTTCAACAGGGATAAATGTAAGGTACTGCATCTAGGCAGGAAATACGGGATGGGTGACACCTGGCTTGAAAGCAGTGGATGCTGGGATCAAGAGAAACACTCCTGCCACTCTTCTTCTCTACTTTGGATAAATCTCACCTGGAACTGTTTCCAGTTCTGCGCACCTGGCACTTCAAGAAGTTTACTGAGAAGCTGGAATGGGTTCAGAAGAGGGGGACAAAGAGGGTCAAAGGTCTGGAAACCATTAAGCTTTCCAAGGAACGACTGGGGAGCCAAGTATGTTTAGCTTGGAGGAGAGAAGACCAAGAGCAGGCGTGACAGAGCCATCCTTAGATACCTGAAGGGATGCCATAGAGAAGATGGAGCCAGTTGGTTTTCTGCTGCTCCAAAGACTAGAACACAAACCAATGGATTCAAATGCCAAGAGGCTCCACAGAAACATCAGGAAGACCTTCTTTAAACAGTAAGAGCCGTTTGACCGTGGGTCACAGACTGCCTTAGTGGCTCTTTGGGGGTCGTTAAGCAGAGGTCGGATGGGCATCTTTCAGAGGCGCAGGTTGTGTATTCCTGTGTCGACTAAGTGGTTCTTAGGGTCCCTTCCAGCTATAGGGTTCTGTGATTCCCACAGGATAACCATGAGCTCCTCTCTCTCTCTGCCTGACCTACCTGGCAAGGTTGTTGTGAGGATACAAATGTCTGGGGGCTGTGTGTGTGAGAGGAGACCCATACGCTGCCTTGGGCTCCCAGGAGCAAAAGCGAGCCATCCGAGTAGCACACAAACAAACGGCAAGCAGCCCATGTCAAGGTAACACTGTGTATTTTCTGCCTCTCACTTCATACAGTTAAACATGAATTCTTTGTCACCTGGAAGTTTCTGCTTCCAGCTCTTTAACCTTTCTTCCTCGACTTCCCCACAGAATAAGGAGCCCCCCATGTGTAGCAGGCGTCCAGAGGGGGCTCCGAAGGGGCATGGAGAAGGACAGGGCAGCGGAGCCATGGACTACCTGGGACCACCTTTGGGGGAGGGGGGAGGGCCCCCGAAAGCCGTGAGGGGGGGCTTGCAGGACTGGAGGCAGACCCTTAAGACATTTGAGGTGGAAGGAATACTGCAGAACATAAAGGGAGGAGGAGGACAGAGCGGATGCTGGTGGTAGTCCCAACCTGAATGCCGCCCCCAGCTCCTGAGTGATGTGTTGGAGAAGTCCAAATACACACGATCACACACACACACACAC